TTGGAATGAATAGATGGGGTTGGGGTATAAGCCTTGGTGTTCCTCTGCTTAAAATTTTTGTGGACCAGAGTCCCCACACCAGCCGCCAGCTTTTCTAGCTGGGCACCCAAGCTCCTGTGGTCTTGAAAATCTACCGCCCTCAGCTCCACCCACGTGACCACATTCCCTACCCGGAGCTTTCCATCCTACACTTGCTTTTTCTTCAACCTCTGCAAAATCCAAGCCAGATACCCTCCTGTCGTAGGGCTTTCCCCGTCACTAGCTCTTCTTTCAGCTCAGGGTCCTGGTTTCACCTGTGTGGAATGTTTGTCAGAGCCAATCAGAATGAATCTCCTTGATGGCTCAGCTCAAGGCCCTATGGCCTGGTAGTCTTGGGGTTGTTGAGTTTGTTCCTGTTTTGCAGTACTGGATATTGAACCAGGGCCTCACACGTTTGTAAGCCAGCACTCTACCAATGAGCTGTATGGTACCGGCCCCTCGGGTTGGTTTCGAGACAGGCTGTCATTACGGAGCTGACTGACCTCCAACTCTAGTTTAATTGCCTCAACCTGAGCCCAGGCTCTGCAGCTTGCTCTGCAGCTTGCATTTTTTATTTTTAGATTATGCATCGGGAGGGGTGATACTTTTAGTTTGTGTCTTTATTCACTCTGGGCATCTTCTGCAGAACCTGTTCTGAGACTGCTTTTGGACCTGGCCTTTGTGATCCCCAAGATGGCCTGTCCCAAGAGTTCCCAGTCCTGGAAGGTCAGGTGATAAGTTACCAAAGAACTTTCTACTCCAAGTCTTCCAACCTTTTGCCCCTACATCCCATGACCAAAGTTACCGTGTGCTCTCCCCCAAATCAGGTCCCAGCTGTGCTGTAGACCCTTCACCCCCTTTTCTCTAACCTTGCACATTTCCCTACCCACACAATGTTTTACCAAATAAAACATGATTTAAAAAAAAAAAAAAAAAGGAATGAATGTCCTTAGTACAGAGATTTCAGAATACCTTTACTGCCCTGAGGGGAAATCCAAGGATGATTTAATCTACATACCCATATATTTTGAAAGAAAAACCAATACAATTGTCCTAATCACAGGAGAAAATACTAAACTGAAAATTAAATGAGGCCTGACAACAGGGCTCAGTGGGTAATGGCGCTTGCTGTCAAGCCTGACGACCTGAGTGTGATCCCCAGGGACCTCGCACATGGTGAAAGGAACAGAGCCGACTCTTGCACGTTGTCTTTTGATTACACAAGCATTGGGGGAGCGGGGGAATTTGTGCTTAATTTACAGACAGCTAAAGTGGGAACCAGAGCGGACACTAGATGGCAGCACCGAGCCCTAGAGTCGGCGTTTTGTGGCTGTGTTTGGGGTTTGTTGTGCCTTTTTCTGTGGAACCGTTCTTGGAATATCCATTTATTTCCTGATGAGTGCTTTACCCTCTGACCTCTTCCAGGGGTCATGAGTTCAATTCCCAGCAACCACATGGTGGGTGACAACTATCTTATAATGTGTTCTGGTACCCTCTTGCATACATCTAGGCAGAACACTGTATACATAATAATTTTTTTTTTTTTTTTTTTTTTGGCTTTTTTGGAGACAGGGTTTCTCTGTGTAACAGTCCTGGCTGTCCTGGATCCCACTTTGTAGACCAGGCCGGCCTAAACTCATCGCCTGTCTCTGCCTCCCAAGTGCGTGCACCAAGCCAGGTGGTGGTGGCACACACCTTTAATCCCAGCAGAGCCAGGCGAATCTCGGTGAGTTTGAGGCCAGCCTGGGCTACAGAGTGAGTTCCAGGACAGGCTCCACAGCTACACTGAGAAACCCTGTCTCGAAAAACGGGGGGGTGGGGGTGGGGGGGAATGGGGGAGGGTGGCCACCCAACCTATGTACTGTTCTCTTGACTTCAGCCGGACACAGAGAACTCTGATGTGTTTGTCTTCTTCCACATGACTATTCTTAGCCTCATGCTCTCCTCTGCCCCCAGCAAACCTCCCCCCCCCCAGTACTGGAATGGCAGGGCATGTGCCACCATGCCGGGCTCATGGTACTAGATATCAAACCCAGGGCTTCATGCCTGCTAGACAAGCACTCTATCAAATGTGGCACATCCCTGACCTCATTTTGTTTAAAAGATATTTACTGGGAATGATGACTCAGGAGGTAGAAGCAGACAGATCTGTCAGTTCAACTTCAGCTTGGTTGGCATAGTTTATTCTAGGCCAGAACTACACAGCAAGACCCTATCTCAGAAGTATAATTTTTAATTATGCATATGTCTGTGTCTCTGTGGGGGTATGTGCGTGAGTGCAGGTGCCCTTGGAAATCAGAGGCATCAGACCCCCATGGAGTTGAAGTCACATCGTAAGCCATACAATGTGGATCAAGCCCTGTACCCCTGTACATGCTCAGTCTCAGAGCCAGCTCGCCAGCCCCCACCCATCTCTCTCCAGAGCCCCTTCAGGTATTTCTTAGTTGAGTTCTTTCCAATGGAATCTCAGGGGAAAGTCTAACTTATTTCCTACTTACTGGTGCTGGGGAGTAAATACAAGGCCTTGCATACGCTACTCAAAAATTCTGCCATGAGCTACGGGCCCTGCCATCATTTTGTTTGGTTTTGCATTTTTATGGCTTTTTTTTTTCTTTTAATTCCTCTCCATTTTAAAATGTTTTCTTTTTCTTTGCAAGTCTGTTCGTAATGCTGATGGATATGGCTGCCCAGAAGACTTAAAAGCACAAGGCCCAGGGCTCAACTTGTGGAGCAAAGCTGGGAAGTAAAAGCAACTAAGGAATTTTTATTTGGGGAAACATTTTACTACAAAGATATTCTTAGTGGGCTGGAGATGACTCACCCGCTGAAGAGCACTGGTTGTTCTTCCAGAACACCAAGGTTCAGTTCTCAGCACCCACATGTGGCTTATAACCATCTGTAACTCCAGTTTCAAGGGATTCTATGCCCTCTTCTGGTCTCTGCAAGCACCAGGCACACATGGGGTGCACAGATATACATGTAGGCAAAGTACTCATACATAAAGAAAAAATATTCACTTTAAAAAAAAGGGGGGTGGGGTGGGGATTTATCTCAGTGGTAGAGCGCTTGCCTAGCAAGGCAAGGCCCTGGGTTCGGTCCTCAGCTTCAGAAAAAAAATGTTCAGTGCTCACAAGTACCTGTAACTCCAGCTGCCTCTGCCAGCACCAGTGCAACAAATACACTCATTTAAAAAAAAAATCAATCTTAAAATACATATGTATATGCATGTACACACGTGTGTGTGTGTGTGTGTGTGTGTGTGTGTGTGTGTGTGTGTGTGTTCATTCTTAGTATGAAACAATGTAAAAAGCCAGGAATATCTCACAAGTTTTAAAAGCAAAAGGAGCCACGGGTCAGTGGTGGCACATGCCTTTAATCCCAGCACTCAGGAGGCAGAGCCAGGCGGAGTTCGAGGCCAGCCTGGACTACAGAGTGAGTTCTAGGAAAGGCGCAAAGCTACACAGAGAAACCCTGTCTCGGAAAACAAAACAAAAAAAGAGCAAAAGGAAACGGGCAGGTGAGATGGTTCAGTGGTAAAGTCGTTTGCCACCAAGCCTGACAACATGAGCTCTGTCCCCAGAGCACACATGTTGGATAGAGAGAACTGACTCCTAAAAGTTGTTCTCTGACCTACACACACACACACACACACACACACACACACACACACACATTTAAATTTTTAAAAAGAAAAGAGGTGGAATACTATCCTGGTTTGCTTTTATCTTGCGATGATAAAACATTCTGACCCAAAACAACTTGGGGAGGAAAGGACTGAATTTTGATTACAGGTTGTTATGCCCTGAGCGCGAGCGAGACCACTGAAGAGACCACCAGAGACACGAACTCACCGAAATGCAACAGCAAGGTTTATTGAAGCAGTTCAAGCCACGTGGCATGGACCTCGTCAAGCTATCCAACACAGTAGAGGCTGGAGGAGGTGCCCGCCCCTCTGCAAGCTCAGTTTTCAAAGGCAAAAACCATAAGGTCACATCATTTAGGGGTGCGAGTATGGATATAGTTCTGATTGGCTTAAGTTTTAGGGGCTTTTCAGAATTTCTGTGTTATCTTACTTCCTAGTTTTAACTGGTTGTTTGTCGAACTTTATAGACTACCTCGGCATTGGGGCATTCTGTGGTTAATCAATTGTTACCAGATAGTCCTTCAAACATCCTGACTTTGTACTTTTGACCATCTCCAGCATTGGGGCATTCTACGGTTAATCAGTGGCTACCAGATGGCTCTTCAAACATCCTGACTTTGTCCTGAGACCTATGTCAGCAGCTCTGAGAATTTTGAAACTCAGTTTCAAGCTGGGGTGAGGGGCTTGCTTGAAATGGGGGTGTTTTGGTTCTTCAAGGTCATAGTCCATCATCAAGGGAAGCCAAGGCAGGAACTCAAGCAGGAACCTGGAGTTGGGGCGGAATGCCTACTAGACTGCTTCCCTTGACTAGCTCGGCTTTCTGACACCGCCCAAGCCCACCTGGCTACAGATGGCACCGTCCACAGTGGGCTACGCCCTCCTACATCAATAGGCAATTAGGAAAATGCTTCACAGACATGGCAATAGGTCAGCCTGAGAGAGGCAATTTATCAGTTGCTGGTCCCTCCTCCCAGCTGTGTGGTGGTATTGTATTCCCCAAAATATTGTGTACTCTAATAAATTTATCTGGGGTCAGAGAACAGACAGCCACTAAATACAAAGGCTAGAAAATGGTGGCACTCACACCTTTAATCCTAGCATTCCAGAGATAGAAATCCCTCTGGATCTCTGTGAGTTCAAG